CAAACAGGCTGGAAGAGATCCATATTTATTCCTGTTCCAAAAAAGGTGATCTGACAGAGTGTAGAAACTATCAAACAATATCATTAATATCTCATGCAAGCAGGATCCTGCTGAAGATTATCCAGAAGTGAATGAAACAGTATATCAACAGAGAAACTCCAGGCTGGGTTTAGAAGAGGCCATGGCACTAGAGATGTTATAGCCAATGTTAATTGGATCTTAGTTGAAAGCAGAAAGTACCGGAGGAATGTCTTTCTGTGTTTCATTAACTCTGCAAAGGCATTTGACTGTGGATCACAACAAGTTGTGACTAACCTTGAAAAGAATGGACATTCCATGATGCTTGATTGTGCTTATGCGAAATTTGTACTTGGACCAGAAGTCAGTGGTCAGAAAAGAGCAAGGAAACACTGCACGGTTCAAAATCAGGAAAGATGTATGCCAGGGATACATCCCATTTGATAATATTTGGTAATGACATAAGTCCCTTATCAGACATGTCATTACCAAATATTTTTTCCCAGTCTGTGGCTTCCCTTTTTACCCTGTTAGAGAAGTTTTTGGATGTGCATAGGGATTTGCTTCTTAGAAGGTCCCGTTCATCTATTTTATCCTTTCCTGGTTGTAGGTTTTTCAGGATACTTGGAAGACTGTTCTTGTTGTGGATTAGTGCTTCTGGGGTTCTTCCAAGCTTTTCGCTAATGATGTTTATAGTCCTTGATTTTAGTCCTAGGTCCTTCCTTGATCCACTTTGAGTTAGGTTTTGTGCATGGTGTGAGGTGTGGATCTTGTTTGAGTTTTCTACAATTTTACCATAACTTCTATTTGTTTTAGTAGAATTTTAATAATGAAGAGTTATTAATATTGAAGTAGTTAGATCATTCTACACAATTAATTTTGACCAGGTTGAAGTTTTTTCAGTATTGCACTTAGTTTAAGATTCATAGGTCTTCATGTTTTTACTTTGTAACAAGAATGAAAAGAAAAAATGGATATTCTGATCCAAAACAAAATTATAAGCTTATCAATAGAGCAGAGAAAAATTATTAGAACTTCCCAGTTGTCTACACTTAACATCAGCTCAGCTATCTGCCTCTGTGGAAAGAGATGGTGAAAAAGCACATAATCCTTCAGAAAAAGGCCAAGGGCTAACTGTGGAACAGACTAATTCCTCATATGCAAGTTTGAATTGAAGATGAAGAAAATGAAAACAAGTCCATAGAAGTGAAATATGATCTTGAATATATCCCTCTGAATTTAAAGAATGATGGCTAGTTGAGTTATGAGATTATAGCAGAGACATTCATGAAGAAAACAAAAGATAATTAAAAAGAAAGAAAAAACCAAAAGGGAATCAGGAGACTTTGAAACTTGCCCTTTCAGATGTGTAACAAGTAACTGAAAAGAACATAGCTTGGATCAAGAACATTTTAGTCTTTAAACTGATGTCATTGCTCTCCAGCACTTTGAAGAAGTCCTGGATGATACAGGAGTCCTCAGGAAGAAGTTGGAAGGAAAACACAGAGTACCAAAAAGAATTGGTCATCACAGAACCATTTCAGAAAGTAGCTATAGTAAAAAACCAGTATCAGTGAAGGAAGAATTCTAAACTGCACTGAAGGCATTGGTCAAAAAGCAAAGCTCCACGAATTGATGGAATACAAACTGAGGTGTTTCAACAAACAGATGCATCCTTGAATGTGTTCACTTGTCTATGCCAAGAAACCCAGAAGATACCACATAGTCAACTGACTGGAAGAGACCCATGTTTATGCCCATTCAAAAAAATCCCAGAGTGATCCAGTATAATGTGAAAATTACCAAACAGTATTATACACAAGTAAAATCTTGCTGAAGTTTATTAAAAAACAGTTGAAACAGCATGACAGGATACTGCCAGAAATTCAAGGTGGATTCAGAAGAGGCTGTCCAACAAGTTATATCATTGCTGTTTTCAAGTGGATCTTGACTGAAAGCAGAGAATATCAGAAAGTGGGGGTTTTTGACAAATATCAGAAAGAGATTTCTTGCCTGTATAAAGGCATTTCATTGTGTGGATGGGAATTCTCATGTGGAGCCTATGCATAGACCAAGTCATTTGAATAGGAGATGATACTGCATGTTTTAAAATCAGAAAAGGTTTGTGGCAGGGTACTAATCCTTTCACCATACCAGAATGGCAGATAGTCTGAATGTTTTGCATATCACTCAAGAAGCTAAATTGTGTGTGTGTGTGTGTGGAGGAAGACTCATTAACAAACTTCAGTAGGCAGATCACAGTCTTGCTTATAGAAAGTGAAAAAAAAAATCTTGAAATAGTGACATTTTTCTTTTTTTTTACATTTTTTCCCCTACAAAATTTGAATACAGGTTTGAACAAATTCTTTCCATTTCCCTTACCCCCCCCACTCATCAAATTGTACAATCCAATGATTAATCTCCCTGGCCCCCTGCACATCCACATCCCTCTGCTTCCAGCCTCTCCCGCCCCTCCTGGATCCTTATACTCATTCTAGAGTAATGATTTTATACAATATTTATCCTTATGTGACTGAGTTAATTCATTCAGCATAATGTTCTCCCGTCCCTCCCAAGTTAGGTAATAATTTACAAAGTTATTGCTCCTGCGTGCTGCGTAGTATTCTATTGTGTGAATGTACCATAATTTCTCAATATATTCATTTGTGGTTTGACATTTGGGCTGTTTCCATGTTGTTGTGATGGTGAATATTGCTTCTGTACATTGGTGTACAAATCTGTTTGTGCTTCAGTTCTCATATTCTAGAAATAGTGACATTTTCAAGAATTTCATTTTACTTTCATTCATAGCACTCATAGAAGCAAAAGTCAGGAAATCAAAGAATGTATGTATCTGGCAAACCTGCTGCCAGAGATCTCTGTTTTTATTATTCTTATATTGTTATTTACTTGTGATTTTAATGAAAGTTCACAGAAAAGTTGGATTTTCATTCATTCATTATTGCACATTTTCTTCCCTCCCCTCCAGTTCACTTTCTTCCCCCCGCCACCTTGTTGTGTACCATCGAATCAGATCCCACTGGCACAGGAGGAGATTGCCGCTCTTCCAGAGGAGCATCTGGTGGATTTGAACCATGTACTTTTGGGATAGTAGCGCCTTTGGGATTGCAGTACAGCTTCTTGCCACTAGGCCACTAGAGCTTCCCCAGATCACTTTCTTCTTTTTTATTTTTTAAACGGTCATTCATTGTTGCACAATTTCCTACCTCCCCTCCCCCCACCACAGTCCACTTTGCAATGCACCTCTTACTCTGGACTGTTGTCACACATAAATGCTTAATCATATATTCCTTTTAAACATTTCTTTTCTTTGTTCCAATGCAGTGTTCATTGCCTATACACTCTTTTCCTAGTTTTCCTCCAAACCCCCATGTCAGCCCTGATTTATAACAGTAGTGTTATGCAGTCTTTGTCCTTTCATTACTGAGATATTTCATTCAGCATAATGTCCTCCAGGGATACCCATGTTGTACAGTATTTTGTGAGTTCCTTGTTTTTCAGTGCTGCATAGAATTCCATTGTGTGAATATACCATAGTTTTCCTATCCATTTGTTTGTTGATGGGCACTTGGGTTGCCTCCATCTCTTTGCTATTTATTATGAGTAACACAGCAATAAACATGAGTATAAACATCTGTTTGGGTGGTTTCTTTAGGGTATATCCTCAGTAGTGGAATTGTTGAGTCAAATGGTATTTCTATTTCCACCATTTTCAGAAAGTGCCAGACCGCCTTCCATAGTGGTTGCTCTATATTACACTCCCACTAGCAGTGAGTAAGTGTTCCAATCTCTCCAGAACCTTATGAGTATTTGTTGTTTGCTGGCCTCTTAAACTTTGCTTTTGTTGCTAGGGTGAGATACTATCTCATAGTTGTTTTGCAGGAATCATTTTAAAGTGATAAAAAGTGGTAAAGTGATAAAAAGCAAGGATGTCATCTTTAAAGACTTAGTTTCATCTGACCCAAGCTATTCTATTTTCCATTGCTTCATTTACATGTGAGAGTTGTACAGCAAATCAAGAAGATCTAAGGAAGAATCAATGGCTTTGAATTATAATATTGCAAATTATATGGACTTCCAGAAGAATAAATTAGTTGTCCGTGTAAGAAGTACAAGTAGGGTGTTATTACTTAGAAGAAAGAATGATGTGACTTAGTCTCATACTTTTGACATGTTACCAGGGAGGGTGGAGCTCTGGTGGCCCTAAGGTGCTGCTCCTCTGGTGTTTAGAATCTACCAGCCTCACTGCAGGACAAATATAACCAGTCTCCTCCTGGGCAATTTATAGCCTCTGAAAATAATGTCAGAGGGTCAGTTATGAGTTGACTCTGACTTGATGGCAGTAAGTTTTAGTTCTGAGTTTGAGTTATCAGGAGGGCTACTTCTGGAAAAGGCTGTCATGTTTGGAAAAGTAGAGGGTCAACAAAAGAGCGGAAGACCCTCAACTAAATGGCCTGTAACAGTGACTGCAACAGTGGGTTGTGAGCATAGGAGAGATTGGGAGAATGGCACAGGGTCAGGATGGCACAGTATCATTTCTTTGTACCTAGGGTTACTGTGAATTGGAGCCAGCTTGATGCAGCAGCAGATGCAGTGGTGCTTGATTATGATCAAATTGGCATTATGGAGGCAAGTTTATCTCTTAGCTGATCATTTGGAAAACTATGTTAAGAAATGATGTTTTTAAGTTTCTTTACACCAGAAGATAACAGTTGGTGATTTAAAGTTGAAAGTTACTTAATATTGAACAGTGTTGCAATACCGATTTTACTGACATTTTTCTGTTATGATTTTGAGCAATTTCTTTGTGTCTGTTGGCCATCCTTTGTGGAAGGTTTAAGAAGTCATTTTTATAGATTTTAAAATGTCTGATTTTGTGCCCCATTAATAGTTTCTAAACTTTGATTACATATTTAAACTATTTTTTGCTTTGAAAAATAACTGTAGTCCTTTCTTTTCAGGGTAATCACTTTGATCAGTATGAAGAAGGACACTTGGAAATTGAACAAGCGTCGCTTGATAAACCTATAGAATCGGTAAGATGGTCAGTGCTTAATTTTGGGTCATAGACCAAGTTAGTTTAGGTAGTGTTCGTGTGACACGATATGAATGAAGTTAAAATTATTCTAATAACTCATACCACAGGTTAGAGCTGTTTATTTGCATGCCCTACAGTTATCAAATAGAGTTTGGGATATAGTATAATATTTATTATTTTGGGATATTGGTCCAAACAATCAAAAAACAAATTAGAATGTTGATGGAAAAAAATATTTTGGTCCATACTGATAATCTGTTAAAAGATAGCAAGTTTAGTATTTTTATAAATTGATTAAAGGAGTAAAATGTATTTTGATCCTTTAATAGCTTCTCTTTTTTTGGATGATAGAATAATGACTTACAAGGATTAATATATTTTATTTATCAAACATTTCTAAAATACGATAATTTGGTTTCTGTAGTGGAAGAGAGGTCTGGTTTTTGTCAAAAGTTGATTCTGTCTTCATATACATCTTGGTTTGGGTGATTAATAATACCAGTCAATAAAATAAGACTAATTTTCCTCTTATTAAAAAACTAAAAAGGAAAAGTACCTTTTAAAAAAATCTTACTAGTTTTTGAACATTATTTTTATTTTTAAAAACTATTTTTAAATTACATTCTTGTTTAGACTGTCTAAACTTTTCAGAATTGTCAGTTTCATATTTGTGCATCAGTATTTGTATTCAAATAAGAAATTTAATGGGTTATTTCTAAGATTTGAGTGAAAAAAGATAAAGAGAGCATGCTAATCTTTAAAATATTGAAGACTAGCCCTTCTCCCTCCTTTAAGAAACAGTCGTTTCTTCTCCTTGGGGAAAGCAAGAAGTCAATTTAGAGAACACAGATAGTATAACTTTAGCTTTTAGTTTTAAAACTGTTACATAATAAAGGATCAACATATATTTATGTTCCTAATTAGGTTGGTGTTGTGTGTGTTTGTGTGTGTGTGTTTAGATGTTTACAGAAATTTACACAACTTGGGGTGTTCGACATTTTTCTTCCACAGCAGTTGGCCCATATTAGCTAAGCAGCCATGATCTGGTTTGTATTGCACGGTCTGCCTTTTTTTAATTTCTTCTCTAGGGTTTCTTTCTCCCCCACCTTCCCTTCTTATTTCTGTTCTTCTGGTCCAGTGAACACTGCATATAGTACTTTCTGTCTTAATGTGCTGGCATGATGCTAGACTTAGGCATGGCAGTAATTGATGACGCATGTGATAATGCTGCAGAGGGAGAATGCACATCTGATGTACTGAAAGCCCAGTCTTGTGTTTGACATAAGTAAAATGCCAAACCCATTTAGCTAAATTAAAAAATCATTGACTTTGTGCCTTGTTTAACACCATCTTTAAGGACTTTCATAACAGGTAGAATTTTACAATGTAATTTGTAGGTTAGATCACTATCTTGACCGTGACAAAGTACTTTTCTGTTTTAATGTAAATGTTTCTTTGGGTCAGAGTTTTAAGAACAGCCCTGTAAGAAGCCAAATCCCCTACCATATTCAACAAGGTATATGAGTTGTTATTATTCTCATATAAGTTTTAATTCTGGGAGTATATTCATTTGACAGCAGCAGGAAATTTAATTAGCTTGAGTTTACATCCTAGTGTTCATTAGTGCTATTTGGGACAATTCTTTTTTCCCCCCAACAACTTTTTAAAAACCCACTAAATTGATGGTAGTGAATTTTGGGAAATTTTCTTTGAAGGCTGTGCTTTATTTATTTATTTAAGGCTTTACTTTCTGAAGAATTAATTTCTGTCAAGTGAGGTTAATGCTCTTTCAGCTCCTAAACTAATCCTAAATTCAGGATTTTTTTCTTAGCACATGTCAAATTTTGACACATGTCAAAGGGAGAAAACTTTTTACAAAACAATTTGACTAATCACCATTGAGTAATCTCAATGAGTAAAAGTGGAATTGATGTGCATATTTATGGAAATCCTTTCCACTTAAAGTAGAAAGTAGTATAGCACTTAAGATTTTTTCTTTTAATAAATGTATGTCTAGAGATATGTAGTATATTAATTTCTACTTCCACTGTACTCTTAAGGCATATAAATATATACACTAAATTTGATAGAGTGTTTCAGGTAGTAGCAGTAGAAACATCATAACCTACTTTGTATTAGACAAAAGTTGGTCACACAAGGTAGGAGAGATTTTGTCTCTGCTTCCAAATTATTTGAGAATCAAATTTAAAGTGGTCAGAGAAATTTATAAGATGATTGGCACTAAAGTAGGTAGTATTTCCTCTCTCCTTCCCCTAAGCAAAGAAGTCCCCTGTCACCTAAGGTATGCTCACCAAATGATAGTCTGTATTGAATTATATGGCTGGCTGGCTATCTTAAGCTATTTCATTCTTAGAAATGGCATGGCTTCTAACACAAAAAAGGTCTATGCTGAATTAAAATCTTTCTCTGCAGCAATATCTATTGAGAGGTGCTGACTGTTTTGCTACAGCATGCAACTCAAAAGTGGCTGGAAATATGCAGCTTTGGGAGTCTACAGATCATTGCAGGAGCTAAAGGTCTAGTCATTTTTCTTTTAAACAAAGGTAATCTGCAGCAGCTGGTAACCCTGGAAGTCTCTGCACAGGTTTGTGCCAAGGATATGCCTGTGTGAAGGGTTATTGTGAGTATAGGATTAAGGTCTTTTTGTTTGTAATAGGGTAAATGCAAACTGGCAAGATGGGAAATTAGATAAAAAGATACAGTAATGTATTTTGCTTTTAGTGGACTTCTAAAATTTGTTAGTGAGATGATGCATGTAAACAGGCAGTGGTTGAAAACACATCACCGGTCAGCATTTGTAAAAAATTCTGTGACTTTTCTTCAAAGTCTTGTTTCCCTGTCTTTTTTTAAACCACTAAATAACTCATTGGAATGTCTAGTGAAGAAAAAACACCTTTCTATGAAAATTGCTTAAGGAATTGCCAGACAACTTGATCATTGCAATTTAAAGAGAAACTAGACAATATTATGCTATGTTTTTACAAATTATGTTTTTGGAATGTGAATTCTTAAAGTTGTTATTGCTTTGAGATTTTTAGATCCCAGCCATTATAATTATGACCTTCATTTACCTGAAGATAATTTATTTAGAAAACAAATAAAAATCTAAAGCCTTCAGTTAGTGTAAGAGTCCACCATTAGTTCCAAGTATTGATTGGTATGGTTAGGCTGCATAGTCTTTTTAGACCTCTGTTATAGAAAGAATATGAGCTATTAAATGGATGAATTATTTTAAGATTTACAAAAGACAAAATATTTCACCATAGGTTTAAAATATGTTATTGTTGTAGTTGGAAGTAAAAGTTCTAATTAGCCTCTTAACTGATTTTTGCGCTGCCTAATTAAAAATCTTTTTAAATAGTTGTCCAGTCAAATGAACAGAATTTAAAAATAAATCTAAGATTTCAAACTTTAGTTGCTAATGCCTAGTTTGCTCTTGTAGGAATTTAGAAGTATATGTGTAATTGGTTTTATGATGTTACATATCTGTTTAGATCTGTGGACTCCACTAGTTCCAAACTGTAATTCTGTAAGACTGATGATGATTTGACATTTAGCAGTGACCATGTGTGTACTGCCCTATAAATGATGTGCTTCTTGGAGCTGAATGGTGTAGCATTACTATGTGGCTTTTCTCTCTAGTCTTCATTGTGTCATCTGTAGTGAGCTAGAGATTTTTTGTTTTGGGAATTTTTACAACTTGTTGTTTGCATGGGTTCACCTATTAGCATTTGGTTCTTACTTAATAGATTCTTTAATACACAATCAGCAAAGTTTACAATCCACTCAAGAGACCTACCGTTTTTGTCACTGTTGAAAATGAGCTAAATAGTGTAAATTAAATGACTGCCAACTAAAGAAAATTCAGTGTGGAATTAATACTTGGTCAGTTACTGACATACTTGTAACACAGTTTTCTCTTTTACTACAAAAATTAGGAAGCAGCTCTGTACAGTAAATTTTTACCTCTTTTGACAGATTCCTGTTTTACATATTAAACAGCATTGGAAATGCTGTTGCCAAAATGATCATTGTTACTATATTGATATACAGCTTCATGGAGAAGGAAAAAACACAACACATTCCAGGGAAACTTTTCTGCTTGATATTTAATAAAATTGTTGATGAAGGACTGACACAGTTAACACTGAGGTATTTTTAACTGCTGAAACTGTTTTCACCATATTGGTACTTTATATAACACATTTCTTGCTTTCAGAGCTCTTCCCATATAGAAATTCTTTTCACATTCATAAACTCTTACATGTAGAATAGAAGGCAACAAAGTAATATTTACTTTAGGGAGGGAAAAAGATAAAAGACAGTTTAGATAATGGAGGTCAAAAAAATTTGCTTTTTCAACTGAGCTTAACAGTTTAATCAAAGACACCACCATTTTGAGGTTTTGAGTACAAAATAATTAATACTTTTTTTTTTTATATTTTTGTGTGCGTGTACGGTCAAATCAGATCTGACTGGTACAGGAGGAGATTGTCCCTCCTTCCCTGGCACAGCATCTGGTGGATTCGAACCGTGCGCCTCTGGGATTGTAGTTGCAGCTCCTTGCCACTAGGCCACCAGAGCTCCCCTGAATACTTTTAAAGTGTTGTAGGAACAGTTTATGAATGTAGAACACCGGCTTTTTTACCTTTGGGCACAGTTTAGTTGCCTTATTAGTCAGCCAATTAATTAGGATTTTCTTGAAATTCTTTCATATATATTGTAATGTTAAACAGCCTACCATTATAATGTTATTGGGGTTTCCTTTCTTTTTGGTGGAGGTCATGAAGCAGGCTGTATTAGAAAATAAAATGGTACTTAGTTTTGTTTTTATGAGATTGTAATTAAACCCCAAATTATGTGTTTAAAAAACAATATTTTCTTGTCACTATTATAATGACAAAACTAGGGAACTCTGGTAGTTTAGTCTTTGGGGAGTTGCAGGACTAACCTAAAGGCCACACCTCTCTGGCAGTTCAAATCCACCAGTGGCTCCTCAGGAATAAGAGAGCAATCTCCTCTTGTGTGATTTACAACCTTGGAAGCCCCAGTGGAGGGTCAGCTATGAGTCTGTCCTGGCTTGAAAACAGTAAGATGATGATAATGATGACAATTACAAAGCCTTTTTTTACTATTTTGAGAATTTAGTACTCCTTTCCCTAATCTGTCTAGATTATCTATTTGGGTGAGAAGTAAATTAGTCCACTTTATTGTTTTAACTGTCTGTCATCCATAGAAATAATTGACTAAGTCACACAGACAGACTGGATTAGTTATTTCCCAGGCTGGTAGTTGTGTCCTTTGTTCAGTATGCATTTGAACACTTCTGAGGTAGGCACTTTCGATTTGTCCTCTTTTGTTAAGAGGTGTTTCAGTGTGCCTTCATGTGTTAGCCATTATCCTTATACCTGCGTGGATTTTTTAGTTTTATATTTTTTTATATTTTTGATAAAAAAGGGAACCTTACTGAATTAGTAGCCTTTTCAACAGAGTCACTGAGCTCTCTTTTCTACCTCAAAAAGCATATAGTCTGGAATGATAGGAAAAGTACAGTTTTTCTGTATTAGTTATTTAAGTTTTGAAGTTGATGACTCCCATGAGAGAAAGAGGTTCTAGGAGATATGTCTTGTTTCATTTGCATTTGTTGTAATCTATAATCAGAAGATCTTCTATAATCAGAAGATCTATGGGTGGCATGTTTTAAACAACTTTTAATATAACTTCTGACATTTTGTTTCCTATTAATATTTGAGAAAATAGATTTAATTGAAGAATAATTTTCACCTAAAGTTTGAGTAGAGAAACGCCACTACCATTTTCTCTCAGTAGCTTTTCTTAGAGAAGGTGACAGCTATCCTCTTGAGTGGTTTTGTAAAAATGGTGCTAATGTGTATAACCTTAAATTTTTCTTTTAGTTTTCCTTTCCCTTTAACATTTGCTTTCCTTTCACTGTTGTCAGTCACAACACGCTGCTCTTGAATCTCTCAGCTGGTCTTGACTCGTGAATTTACTTATGCTTTCACTCTTCTTTAATAAATACATTACTTGCAAGCAGTGAATTGAAAACAAGACAAAAATAAAATAAAATAAAAACGACCATTAGTGATTGGACAGTTTCTTACTTTGTGTTACATTTAACTGTTCTTTTGACAGCCCAGTTTTTAAAGCCAGGTTCGTATGGAAATGCTTTCACTCCACTTGCACTGCTTTTGGAAATAGCATACTGCTTCATCTGTCTGTTTATTTTAGTGCATTCATAATATAACACAGTCAGCATAATGTCTCATCTCTATTTAATGAAAGGTTGAATTTTCTTAAATTTAAAAAGGGACAGCAATTTTAGTCAGCATTATTTAGTACTCAGAATATCTGTGACAAGTATAATTGTAATATTATCCCATTAAAAGATTAACATAAATCAATCACATAATCTTGAGATTATTCTGCTAGGCATGAAATAAGAATTTCTTGGACAGGTAAGTTTATTTTCATAGTAAAATAAGAACTTTTCCACCATTTCATTTTCTGCTGATACTACATAAATTAAGGCTTTTAGTCTTCTTTTGATAATGAAATTATTTGTATTTAAACACCCAGTACTACTTAAGAAGATACTTTTCCTAGCAGTTTGGTCGGGAGGGGAGAAAGGAAGAAGACAAGACAGACTAATGTTATTGTGATGTCTAATAAAGGGAGCAGTCATCTCCTGGGATTACATCCACTGTAGAGTTTTCTAGTAATTCTTATTCCTAGCAGAAGTAATTTTTAGTGACATTTTAATGGCTTATCATGGTTTTGTAAATAACACCTACTCCTCACTTATTCAGATGGTTAGATTACAAGACCAGACGATAAATATAGGTATTACAAGAAAATGGAGGACGACCATATTAGATCACAAAGCCAGGGGGTGATTACATAATTATATAACCATCAATTTATATTATTAACATAACTACCAAATTATCTAACTGCCAAACCACTGGGAATCATGACTCAGCCAAATTGACACATAATAATCTTTTACATATTTAAAAGTTATCACATAACTGTTAAAACCAGCTTTCCTTCTACCTCACACTTTTAACTGTGAGCCATCAATAGAAAAATAGTTGGAGAGTAGATTTTTTTTTACTATTGTCATAAATGCTATATACCACTTAATAAGATAGTCAGTAAATGGGACGTGTGTGTGTGTGTGTGTGTGTGTATGTGTGTGTGTATATATATATATATATATATCTATCTATATATATATATCTTAAATGATAGTATCATTTGTTTTGTAGAAAAATACAAATATTGGTTAGGAGTTTTTCTGTTGTAATTTGCCTGTAGGTTTTGATTTTTAAAAACTCTCAGGGAGCTCTGGTGGCCTAGTGGCAAGACGCTGCACTGCAATCCCAGAGGTACACAGTTCAAATTCACCAGATGCTCTGCTGGAGAAGGAGGGGTCAATCTCCTCCTGTACCAGTCAGATCTGATTTGACAGTAAACGTAAAAATAATACAATAAAAATTAAAAATAAACAAAACTCTCTTGATTTTTTTTACCCTCTATCTGATCAGAGAATTAGCTCCTCAGTCCAGTTTTCCAGTAACAATAAATTTACAGAAGGAAGATTTCTTTAAATGAGTAATGTACTGCCACAGTGTAATCTCTTAACTTCCTGTTAGAGTAACAGTAAAATAATTGTTTTCTTTCCTTTATGACTCCAAAGAACACCTCCTCATTAAATTAGAAAGCTGAAAAAGTCACTTATGGAATATCTAGTTTTAAATCAAAGATTGAGGGTTATGTTAACTTTATGAATTTTGAGACATGAAGTTATTTCCAAATGTGATATCGGATTAATATAATAAATGACATTTTAATGCTTAAAGAACATTTTGTGTTTATGGCTTTTAAATGTTTTCATTGGACAGTTTCTGGCCTTTTATCTGTGAGGGTTAATGGCTTTGTCTTGCTACTTCACAGTAACTGAAAATCAAAGAATAAGAAAAAAGAGTTCAAAAGAGTTCTGAAATTTTGACCCTTTATACAAAAGCTGACATTTAATTGTTGTTTCTGATGTCTTTTCATGCAATTTACATTGAAAGATCTTTTTCAGTGTGTTCTTAGGAAGATGAGACATTATGTGTGTTGATTTTCCCCCCTCCTACATGCACTAATGGTTCTTTATTGTTAACCTATTGCTAGGCCTGTTTCATTCTAACATTTTAGCATTTTTGTTAGATTACATGTTGAAATGCATCACTCAGTCTGTGCTTGAGCTCATATTATTTTTCTGTTTAATCAATTTAATTTCTTGTTTTACTAACCTCACTGTTTTTTCAGTTTAATATTGGCTGCATGCTAGTTAAATATTTATATATATTTTTTCTTTTTTTGTTTTTTTAAAAAACATCAAGTCTAGCTTGGATTTTGCTCTGATTGTGTTTTCATTTCTAGTGGTGGGGCAGTCTTGTAACTTATGTATCACGAAAGCCTGACACATAAACAGAACAACTAAACAAAACATAGATTTTCTTTAAAAAGAAATCTTAAAGTGGTGCTGTTTAGGTGGTGGATATGATTGTACCTTGATTTTATGCTTTTTATTGTTAGTTTTAAACTTCATAAATGTATTCCTCCCCTTTCCCTTTCCCATTTTCTCTTTTTTAGTGTTATGTATAAAAGTTGCCCAGCACACCATCAGAAAGGACCTTTACCCCTTTTGTTCTTCCCATATAAAATACTAGCCAGCATTTCTTTTTACATTAATGTCCTTTTTATTGGGCACATTTACCCTATTATTAGCACCCTTTTGCATGCATATATGTAGAATTATCTCTCGCTCATCACCTGTTTATATGTCACTAGGAAGGGAAGAATTTATTATTGGAATATTTTTGGTTTGTCTCTCTGTTCTATCTGTCAGGATAATATTGGACATCGCTTACTCCAGAAACATGGGTGGAAGCTGGGCCAGGGATTGGGAAAATCTCTTCAGGGTAAGTTTTAAAAATATATCCGGGGGAAAATATATATCCTTTAAAAAAAATGTTGATCTTGTATCTGATTATATTTGTTGTCTTTTAACAAGTGTTTGGGTTTTTCCTCCCTTACTTCCCCATGCCTCTTTTAGAATTTAGTCTGTTTTTCCTATGACTGTATTTTTAAATCACTATTAAGTCATCTTATTTGCTAATAATTTGCAAGAGTAAGCTGCTTCATCATTAAAACTTCAAGCCCAAATTTACTGTAGGTAGATGAATTGGTTTTAAAATGGTTTTGATAGGGTTGATAAGTGGATGGCTTATAAAGGAATACATAGTATTATTCTAAGGGTATGCTTTCTTTGTGTCATTTAGTGATCTTGTATTATGATCTTCTGTATTATAAAGAGAACTGTTTTAACAGGAGAGTTTACATTTTATCCTCAGATTTTCCTTGCAGTCTATGAGTGTCCTGGCAGTTTGGCTTTGCAATCAGAAGCTGTATGGTAGTGGAAAGAAATGGACCCATATAATGGGAGCAGAGGTTTACTGGGACTCAGAGGGAGACTATTTCTCAGATTCTAGAAAATGTATGATTTAAAAGTTTCCATTAGAGAGTTCAGGTGACCTAGTAAGTCACCTGAGAAGTTATACTGCCAACAGTAAGCCATGCAGTTAGAATTCACTAGGTGCTCTAAGAGAGAAAGATGAGTAGATTCTTCTGATGTAATTTAAAACCTCTGAAAATCTGCTAAGGGATCAGCTATGAGTTAGCTCTGACTCCATAGCACACAACAAAGTTTCCATTTAATTTCTTTTTCCTTTAAACTATATTAATCATTTGAGTAGAACTCCCCCCAAAATAAAGTAACAAATCCTCATATTTATACTTCAGACTTCTTGCTAGTTGAAAAGGAACCAACTTTATTCCATTTTTAACTCTTAGATTCAAGAGCTATATTTAGTTCTTTGCAGATGTCAATACTACCTCAGAAATAATGCAAGTGTTTGTCCTTTTTACATCAAATCTTGGAGGGGTTCAGTATAAAGACTCATAAGGCAGAGGTATGCTAATTTTTTGCATTTTGGAAAAGAATTTCCAGTTTGACTGTAGAAGTCCTTATCAATTCAGTTACGTATGTAAAGAGAACAAGAGGACAATATGAAATAGGACATTCCAATCATTATAACTTTTCTTTTTAAATTCAATTCTGAAATTTCTGTTCAGTGATAATACATAGGAGATATTTAAGAAACATGTTTTGATGACTATTTAATACTAAACGTTAGTGTTCTCTTTTAGGATAGACGTAAAGATTTGATAATGATAAATAACAATTTGTGTGGCATAGACTACAGATTTATTAAAAGTTCAGAAGACTAGGGCAGTCAGGACCAAATTTAAAAAGGATTCTTAAAGGAATTTTCTAGTAGTTGGCATAGTTGAATAGAATTAAATGGAGAAGGTGATCTAAAGTAAATAGCTATTGACACGTACTAAAATGGGTTAAGGGAGCCCTGGTGGTGTAATCTGTAGGGAGTTGCACTGCTAACCCAAAAGCCACATCTCTACAATTTGAATTACCAGTGACTCTTCTGGACAAAGATGGATAATTCCTGCCATGTGATTTTTCAGTCTCTGAAATTCACTGAAGGGTCGACTGTGACTTCGTTCCAACTAGAAAGCAATGAGTTTGAGTGTCTGGTTTGTTGTTGTTTTTTTAATTGGATGAAAAGAAAGGCATAATGCAATAAAGGGCTGATCTGCATAATTAAACTAAAGAACGACAAAGATACATGAGAAATATAGTCAATAGCAGATATATAGGTGGACAGACAAGACGAACAGATATGGATAGGTGAAAAAGATTACACGTATAACCAGACCTACATTTGGAAGATGATATTTCTACACATTCATGTTCATTCATTCATTGCCATTGAGTTAGAACTGACTCAGCTGATGCTTCAATAGGTTTTTGGAGGCTATAAGTGTCAAGGGAAGAGAATGCCCATCTTTGTCCAAGTTGTTGCTGGTAGATTCAGACCACCAGCAAGGAACCACCTTTGGGTTCTCCCTAAGGACCATGCCACCAGAGCTCTCTGCATTCATATTAATATGTGCTTATAAGTATATCCATGTTTAAAGCAGAGCCCGAGTGAATATGTGGAAGAAAACTAAACATTTTTTTAAAGCCTGACCTGCCTGTTCATAGAAACCAGTGGAATCCCCAAGACTGTGGCCCATAGTCATCCTTTGACCCTAGAACAAATTTTACTCTATTCCTGTGACTGAACTTTCAATAATAAATTGAACTGCCGAATAATAGACAGGTCCATAAGGTAACCAATACACCAGTGAGACACAACTTGGAAACTGTATAACCAATCATATAAATAAGGTCTGAGAGGCAGCGTCTGCCCAGTGATGAAGCCAGAAGGCAAGAAAGGGTTAGAGTAGACAGATAATGGAAATGAGAATTATAGGGGAGAAAGTGGGGGTAAATGTGATTACATTGTGGGAATTGTAATTAGTATTATGCAACAAAATGTGTATGAGTGGTTGAATGAAGAAAAGTATTTTGCTTTGTAGCTTTCACTCAAATCATAATTTTAAAAATACAGCAATAAAAACCCAAATGCCAAAACTCTAAACTTCTTGAAAAGAATTAGGTTTTACTCATATTTTACCTCCATCTGTCATTTAAATAGGCATATAGTAAATATTCAACAACTAAAAAATAAATTCATTTAAAATAAATGGGAGATTAGAAGCCTATCTTCTTTGAATGGCAACTTACAGTATCTTTACCCTTCAAAAAAGAATGGAACCTTATTCTGTTGCCAACACTGACAACAATGGCTCTTTATTTTCTAGCATGTGATTCAACATTGTGCAGGCATTGTGCTGGTTTCTTTCACATGTTTCCCCTCTCCCCCTTTCCCCTGTTACCCACTTATTTGACCTAGAGTATAACCACATTTATGTATATCAAGGCAGTTTATGACAGATTGTTCACTGTACCAAACCCTTTGCCATAAATAACCACTGAAGAAAGCCCTTGTCCCACTAGTGAATGTAAATAATGCTTCCTCAGTTTTATATGTGCTTGTTTCTAGGCATGTAACATTGTAAGAGTTCTTTGCATTTATCAATTTATTGTCAATCTTCTGTTTTATTTTTTATTTGGATTTAGAAATCTGAGTAACAATCCAAGAAACCACTAAAATTTAGACTTGGTCTCTTTGGACTTAGGCTTAAAAATTCTTTTGATCCATATAAAGTTTTTACAAGCAGTTCTAGAGTGCAGGGCTAGAGTGCAGATATGTGAAATCATTGTTGAGATTGGGAAACAGGCCATGCTACCTTTGGAAAAAAGGTTAAATATGGCTAGATAGAAAAATTGGTAAGCTGGGTTTAATTTTATATTTTAATTTTGTGTTACTCAACTTCTATTCTCCATATGCTTATTCATTGGGTCGCTGTGAATTATAGTTATCTCAACAGAACCTAACAACAATATTCTCCATATTAAGATATTTTAGACGTTTATGAAGAGGTTTTATTTTGTGTATCAGTTAAGTTATTGTTAATATTAAAAAATAAAATACCTGTAAGAAAGATATGTTGACAAAATGTCTGAAGGAAACAACACAAAGGAAAACTTGTTGAACACATACTATGGATGATTGTGCTGAGTTTGTATTGAAGCAACAGTGGGTAATAATTATATTTTCTGACAGTATAATTTAGTTGCGTTCTGAAAATTTTTAGACAACTTTGAAATATAATGGAGCAATATAGCTCGAGAAAGAGAAGAAGGCTATTGATGAGATTAATTGATACCGTGACTGGGGTAATGAGGATAAGTTTGTTAGAGACCGTAAAGTTAGCACAAGATAGAGCAGGCACCTCGATGGCACATAACAACAACAGTAACATAGCTTGGAACTTTATTTTGTTATGAATGTTCAGGCAGTAGATATAGCCCAGAATAGTACCTAAATGTCCTTTGTTGTAGAATCTAAAAGATAGTTGAAGATTTGACCAGCTCTTTGATTTCTTTCTGGAAAAGAGAAAGTAAAATATTTCCTGTCTAGAAGGTTCAAACAATAATAGTTCTATAGCCAGCAAGTATTTTCTGTGCCAATAATAAGATTGTTGCTATTATGATACATAATGACACAGAAAGATACTTATTTTCATATGATACAGATTTATCTTATGCTGTCATTATATTAAGGAGCTTTGGTGGCCTAGAGGGTAAGGAGATATACTACTAACAAAAAGATAGGTGGCTTAAATCTATCTGCTGCTTTGCAAGAGAAAGATGGGCAGTCTCTTGTATAATTTACAACCTCTGAAAACTCACCAAAGCTGTGAGACAGTTGGTTCTAAGTCAATGGCATGTAACATATGTAATATTATAGAATGTGTGCTGTTATGTGTTATGCTTTATTATATGATATTACTATGTCTTAATCTACTTTTATGAAACTAGTATAATATTACATAATAATACAATAAAATAGTACTGGTAATACTATGCAAAGTAGCATAAGATGTAGACAAAGTAGATGAGACATAGTTACTGCTCTTCGAATTTACTTTCTACTCCTCTTAAGTCTTCCTTTTTAAACCTCTGTACACCTTTGCAAGGAGCTCTGGTGGCATAGTGCTTTATGTGTTGTGCTGCTAGCTCTAAGGTTGGTGATTTGTATCTACCTGTCACTCGGCAGAAGTAAGATAGGCAGTCTCCTACAAAGATTTACAGTCTTATGGAGGGTACTCATGAGTTTAAATTGATTTGATGACACTGGGTTTGAGGGTTTTGTTTACAGAACTTTTTTAAAAATTTTTTTATTTTATTATTTTTGTGCATGTACCGTCAAATCAGATCTGACAGGTACAGGAGGAAATTGTCCCTCCTTCTCCTGCAGAGCATCTGGTGGATTTGAACTGTGTACCTCTGGGATTGCAGTAAAACTTCTTGCCACTAGGCCACCAGAGCTCC